TTTCTTCCTTTCAAATATTCTAAGTTTCCTTCTTTTATCATTTCCTTTGTGTTTAGAGAACTTCTTTTAGCCATTTGGGGGGCAGAAGAAGTTGGTAAGAAATTATTTTAAATTTCTTTTATCTGATAATTTCTTGATGTACCCGTTATTCCAGAAGGATATTTTTACTGGATAGATTCTGGGTTGAGGGTTGTTTTTGTTTTCAATTTTATTTTTCTTTCAGCCTTTGAGAAACAGTGCCTCGCTGCCTGCTGGTTGCCCTGGTCTCTGATGAGAACCTGCTGTCATTTGCATTTCCTCTGTAGATGGGGAAGTATCTGTTGTTTTTGTCTGGTTGCTTACCCTGTTTAAGGTTGATAAACTTTTAAATCTATGGATTTATATCTCTTACCAAATTTAAGTTTTCAGCCATTATTTCATTGAGTGCTTTTTTTCAGCCCCATTTCCTTCCCTTCTTCTTCTGGGACTCCAGTGACACAAATGGTAGATCTCTACTATCCCGTGGGTCCCGGGGCTGTATTTACTTGTGTCAGTCTTTTTCTCTTAGCTCTGGTTGGATACTTTCTATAGTCTTGGCATCCAGTTCACTGATTGTTTCTTCTGTCCCTTTCATTATGCTGTCAAGCCTTCCTTTTTATTTTGGTTATTTTCAATTGAAAAATTTCTGTTTGGTTCTTTAAATCTTCTGTTTTTTGTTTTTTGGGTTTTTTTGCAGTTTTTGGCCAGGGTCGGGTTTGAACTCACCCACTCCGGTATATGGGGCCGGTGCCCTATTCCTTTGAGCCATAGCCACTGCCCTAAATCTTCTTTCTTTGATGACAAATTCTCATTTTTTTTTGATCATGTTTATGTTGCTTTTTGATGCATTTTTATGATACCCACTTTAGAATCTTTGTCAGGTAATTCTAACATTTTTGTCAACTTGATGGTGGAATTTATTGATTATCTTTTTCTTTGAGAACTTCCTGTTTCTTGGTGTGATAGGGATTTTCGGCTGAAACCTGAATGTCTTTGTATTACATTATGAGACTTATATCTTCTCTTGGGTACCACCTCATCACTGCCAGGTGGGCATACAAGTCCAGATTCCCCACTCAGCTCCCACTGACATGTGAGAGGGATTCTCCTGCCACTGCCTGGTGGGGACGAAGGTGCTCTGGTTTATTCTCCTGATCTTCACTGACATAGTAGCAGGGCAAGAGAGAACTCATTACCCACCCAGCAGAAGGTCCATCTCCCTACTGGGTCTTCACTGGCCCCCTCTGTGGAGGTGTTAGGGTACCTTGTAGGGTGAGGTTTAAGCTCCCCATCTGGCCTTTACTGGCAAGGGTTTGGGGTGGGCCGTAGTTTTTGCTATGGTGCTTAACTAGAGAAGTTATTGTGTAAGAGTTATCTCTCTAGCTCAGCGGCACCTTCCCTGGCCCTGTGGCTTCTAGAGTGAGCAGACTTTTGTTGGGGTTCTTTTTGTTTGCACCCATTGGCATTTCTGGGTTGCCAGCTTATTCTGCTTGAAGTCAGAGAAAAAAGGACAACCCAGAGAGCTCACCACCATGTCATTCCTTAGGCCGTCGAGTCCCTGGCCCTGCTCCCTTTTCTCTCTAGCTTGCTGTGTCTGGGTCTGTGTGTGTGTGAGAGAGACAGAGATCTAGGATTTTTAGGAGGGGGAGGGGATTTAGGCTTTTTAGGTGTACTTAATGAGAAAAATAGGGAAAGTATTTCTACGCCATCTTCCTAGAAGCAGAAGGCCACCTTGGCTTGAAGGGTGGGCTTTTTGTACATCAGATGCTACATTAGGTTGTTTTTGTCCCCTTACCCACAGCTTGTAAATAGAGGGCCCTGTTGCCTCTAACTTTTGGAGTCAAGATACCTAGTTTCTTCACAGGGAACTTTTCCTTTCTTTGTAATTGCTTTTACTGTTTTTGTCTTTAGTCTGAAGTTTGACAGTTAGGTGTTTATTTGTGGACTTATTTATTTGCATGGTTCAGTTACTTTGATTCTGATAATCCTTTAATTTTAAATCTATAAAATTCTTAGCCATTAATGCTTTTAATAGTGTCCTCTACCCCCAGTCTCTCTCTCTCTTTTTTTTTTAACTCCAAAATACCTTTGAGACTGTATCAGGCCCTTCCCGTCAGTCCCTGGTGTCTCCTGCATCCCCTTTCATGTGCTCTGCTACCTGGTAGTTTCCTCCAGGTTCTAATCTGGTTCACTAACTCTTTCCTCTCAGTCTTGCCCATTTTGCTCTAAACAATCCATTGAGTGATTAATTCTAATTGCTATAATTTGTATCTTTAGATGTTCTAGATTGTAGAAATCTATTCTTTCAAGACAAGGATTCACTTCTTTTTCTATGGTATTGATCTTCTTAAAGATACTTTAGCAAAAAGAAGATACTTTTCTTTTTGTGTTTTGTTTTGCTTTTTTTTTTTTTGAGACAAGGTCCCTGTTACCAAAGCTGGAGAACACCACCACTACTATCACAGCTCACCATAGCCCCAAGCCCCTGGACTGAAGCAATCCTCCTATCTCAGCATCCCCAGTAGCTGGGACTACAGGTGTGTGTCACAATGCCCAGCTAACTTTTTATTTTTTGTAGAACATAGTCTAACTGTGTTGCCCAGACTGGTCTCAAACTCCTGGCCTCAAGTAATACTCCTACCTTAGCCTCCCAGAGTGCTGGCATTATAGGCATGAGCCACCACACCCACCTATCAAGTTGTTCTTTAACCCAGCTCTTGAAGGACTAAAGTGCTGTCTGGCTGATTCATTCCTGGTGGATTGTTTCCCTGAGTGCTTTGTACTTTCACACTGTAAGCTTATTTTCAGGAGAGCTGTATGTCTGGGGACTCTGCGTGTCTTGGGTTGAGGCTGCGTCCTGCCGTGTGATCTGCACTTGCTTCCCCAGGTGTCTCAGGGATAGCCCTTTCTAGAGCCATTTTTATTGTTGCTAATAATCCTAATTTGGAGGTTCATTGTCCACATGGTTGTTTCAATTTGAATTTGAAGCCTACTTGTGGTACCAGTACATAATTACTTTTCAAAGGGGAATCTTGATGCCATTTTGCTGAGCAACCAGGGAAAGTCAGAGAACATTCTCTGTCTGCCTGAACTAGTGAACTAGATCAATACCATGGAAAAAGAAGTTAATCCTTAAAAAAGTCAGAGAACATTCTCTGTCTACCTGAACTTTTTTATTTTTTTTTTCTTACCTTTTGACTTCAGGCCTCTAGCTCTGAGAAAACTCAGGTTTTGTCCTCTGCTTCATGTGCACCCTGGGGGGGCTTGTCCCCTGCCCCACACAGATTTAGAGCCAGTGTCAGACTGATCCCCACCCAGGCCCTCACTGGTTTATAGTTTCTTCTCTGTTCTAAGCACCTGGAGATTTCCTTTTCTTTCCTAAAAGTTCGCCTGTGCTTTTGTTTTGTTTTATGTTTTGCTTTGAGACAGTCTCAGTCTGTGCTCTAGGTAGAATGCCATGGTGTCAGCCTACCTCACAGCAACCTCATACTCCTGGGTTCAAGCAATCCTCTTGCCTCAGCCTCTCAGGCAGCTGGGACCACAGGCACCTGCCAAGATGCCCAGCTAGTTTTTCTATTTATAGTAGAGAAGGGGTCTCACTCTTGCTCAGGCTGGTCTGGAACTCCTGAGCTCAAGGGATCCTCCAGCCTTGGTCCCCCTGCCCACCTATACATTTTTAAAGTATGACATACTTTGTCCAGCATTTTAGGTATTCAATCCAAAAGGATTTTCAAACAAAGAGTTTCTTTTTACTATAAATTCTTATCTTTTTGTTTGCTCATTAGTTTTTATTTTTATATATTATGGATACATTGTAAATAGTTGTCCATAATTATGGGATACATATGATGTTTTGATACAAACCTGTAATGTATAACATTTGAGCTATAAGATTTAGAATATAAAGTGTTTGTTGGAGGAATTAAATTTTTAAAAATGGAAACTATAATATCTTTTGTTCAGCAAGGTGACAGTTCCATTGATACATTTACCCTTTGGCTAGTTGAGACTATGATGCAGTCTGAATAGTAATTATTTACATTTAAGCAAAATTCCCATAGCAGAAAATGATGATGGAACAAATCGTTCTTGAAGTCTCTGGTTAGTAGCTGGGTGCAGTGGACTCAGCAGTGGAGTGAAAGGGAGCAGGAGTTTTGTTTTCTGCTGCTCTGAAACTCCTGAGCTCCTGTGTAAGCAGAACTAAGGTTCTTTGCTAACTAGAAAAAGCAAAGTGACTCACCAAGGGCAGTATGGGGCTACAGATCAGGCTAATTTATAAATTCTATTTGGGAAATCCTTTAATTCCATTTCATGGAAAATAATAGCCCAAATTAAATATATTAACTCCGTGTAAAGAAGAAATGAAGACCTCTGTCTAAATTAAACCAGATTTTACATTTGAAATAGTGACCCAAACTTTGCTAAAGCTGTCCTCCTCACAAGCCACAAGTTACAGATGAGGGAGGAGAAGCCAGGCCACACACACCTGCGGGTGGAGGCAGAATGTGCACGTGCACCTTTTTTTTTTAAGGGGCAGGAACTCATTTTCTCACCCAGGCTTAGAAATGCCCATGTTTAAAAAGCAGAACGAGGTGGGCTCCTCAAAATCTAGCAGTCTTATTCTACACTTGAAATTTCTAGACTGATTTTGCTTGCAACAGAGTATGTATATTTCTCTGAATGGTGGCTAACAAAGGGACTTCTATACAAGAATAGTTTTTAAACTTACAACTTCGAAAGAAATTTTCAGAAAGCACAGTTTGGAAACCCACTGGATTAGCATGTAAGTCAAATACCAAAAATGCTTAAATGTGGAAAGGTAAGTCAAGATTTTATTGCCATTTCACAAGATACTTAGTTTCCTCTTTTTTTGTTTTTGTATTAACAGCTAAGATTTCATTAAGTTTTATGATCACACCCTAAGAATAAATTAACCGTACCCATCTTAAAGTTATTTTTAATAGTCTCTTTTTGTCTTACAGATTTTTTGTTTAAGTTCTTGGTTATTGGAAATGCAGGAACTGGCAAATCTTGCTTACTCCATCAGTTTATTGAAAAAAAATGTAAGTGACCCCATCGTTCCTTCATGCATGTCTTCCCGGAGTGCTCAGATGTGTATACAGTAGAACTCAGGTCTTTTTAGAAGAAAAACATCATAATTTAAAAGTACTTAAGAGGTTATATTATTAAACTTTCAGTAATAATGACCGAGTTACTATTGTTGGCATTTCTATTTAATAGTTCAATATATAAGTACTCATGCTGTACATTTTCCAAATGCTAAGAGATAATATAATGATACTGATGATAGCGGAGAGTCTCTGGCAGGAATCCCATTTCTTGACAGTGGGGCCAGAGGTACTCTAGGAGAAAATTTTGGATGAAATAATAGCATTTGGTCCTCATTGTGGCCTTCTGTTGTAGGTAAGGGAGTTATTGCCACCAATACTGCTTTACAGGTCAAGAAGCAGGTTCAGAGAGGTAGTGTTAACTCTTGGGATAATCACCTTGTGACTGGTAGGCTCTTGACCATACAGCCTGTCTTTTGCCATTGACTTTCACTGTTTTGGTTAAGTGAAGTTGAATTTTATTTTATTTTATTTATTTATTTATTTATTTATTTTGAGACAGAGTCTCATTGTGTCGCCCTCGGTAGTGCTGTGGCATCATAGCTCACAGCAACCTCAAAGTCTTGAGCTTAAGTAATTCTCTTGCCTCAGCCTCCCAAGTAGTTAGGACTACAGGCGCCTGCCACAATGCCCAGTTATTTTGATTTTTTGCAGTTTTCATTATTATATAGCAGGCCTGGGCCAGTTTTGAGCCCACCAGTCCCAGTATATATGGCCAGTGCCCTAACCACTGAGCTACGGGCGCCAAGCCAAATTTGAATTTTTTTATACCAAACTATGTGAGACCTTGGAAGACTGTAGATTTGAAAATAAATAGTGCCTTTATAATAATGGAAAAAATAGTGGAGAAAGACCTGTTTATTTAGTGGCAGTGTGATGAAGTTTCAAAAACAGAATTAATTTAATGAAGTGCATCTTGGTTTTTTTGTTTTTTAAAGACAGAGTCTTACTTTGTCACCCTCAATAGAGTGCCATGGCACCACAGCTCATAGCAACCTCCAGCTCTTGGGCTTAGGTGATTCTCTTGCCTCAGCCTCCTGAGTAGCTGGGACTACAGGCATCTGCCACAATGCCCAACTGTTTTTTTTGTTGTTAGAGTTTGGCCGGGGCTGGGTTCAAACCCACCACCCTCAGTATGTGGGGCCGGTGCCCTACTCACTGAGCCACAGGCACCACCCTAATGAAGTATATCTTAAGCAAGCATGCATGAGGTACTATAGGCTGGGCATAAGCAAAATGCTTATTTGCCTATCTCCTGCCCATTCAAACAGATAGCATTGATTTCTCCAACAAATTCATTCCACATTATTGCCATGTAACACTATAAGTAATGAAAATCTAACACCTACCATATGCATAGAGTTCGGATTTGGGGGTTCAGTTTTTTCTTTTTCCATAACATTTGGTATCTCACAATATTTTCTTTGTGGTCTACAGTGCTCTTCCTTCCATTTACTTTAATTTCTTCAGAATATTTATCTATTTAAATCCAGTAGTTGAAACTATCACCCCCTCATTGCCAGCTGAGTTCCAGACCCATCCCCGGGCATTACGTCCTTCTGCACAGTGCGGTGGTATTTAGGCAGTTGCCATCCGTGAGCACCTTATCAGTGCTGTTTAAAATGTACGATTTGTGTAGGGGTTTTGAGGGAAAGCTTGATTGTCTGTCTGGGATTGGGACTATGTGTATTTTATTTAGCACAGTGAATGTGCTTGTCAGTGAACTGTTGAGAGAAATGAGTGGCTAAAGCAGTTAAGGTTTTTCCATTGACATAACCCTTGACTTTAGAGTTACTTGCTGAAATCTATAAGCCTGTTATGTTAATGTTATGAAATTAAATATTTTGTTCTTATTTTTCTTTTTTAGTCAAAGATGACTCAAATCATACAATAGGAGTGGAATTTGGTTCAAAGATAATAAATGTTGGTGGTAAATATGTAAAGTTACAGATATGGGATACAGCAGGACAAGAACGATTCAGGTAGCTTTTTCTCTAACTTAAAAAAATATTTGAAAACTGGCTTTCAATAATTACATTTTCTTAGTATATAAGGTCTCACCCCCTCCTAACTCTTTAACTTCTTTGCACTGAAACTTCACCTGTGGAAATTTTGACTGATAAGACAGCTAAAATTCAGTGTACTTCCATGCAACGTTGTTTTACTAAAGAATACAGAAGCCTCTCAGAGCGCCTCAGAATTCAGAGCATCATTCTGAGGAGGGAGTGGCGGGCACTGTGTATTCTATAGTGTGCTTTTAGATTAAAATCAAGGCCAAGTAAGGGCACTATTGGTTTCTGTATTTCACTCTTAAAGAAGAATTTTTACAAAGCCTCTTGTGTTTTATTAGTTTGACGTTGACTAGAGCATGTTCTGATGATTGATACACAATACAGAAAATATTCTCTCCTCCACGCTTTTATTAGAGTACAATCACAATTGATGCTCAGAATGATGATGTCAGATCACCGCAAATGAGGTTATATAGTTAATATACTGTAAATACTACAGCAAGAAAGTAGAACAATATTTTAGTTGTGTTTTTTGGCACAGATGCACAAAGTCAGAAGAAATACATATAGTTTCAATGAAATCAAATTCATCCCACTGTAAACATTTCACTTAATTAAAGTTGAGTATATGTTACATATTAAATGCTCAACAATGGCTTCAAAAATATTGTAACCGTCTTTAATCACAATCCTTCTTCTAGAGGCACTGATTAAACATGGCAGATTCAAACAGACACGTCTTTCCCTCTCAGCATCCCAATGAAATGACTGAAACAACTGAAATAGCATAGCATTTCAGGCCATAATGGGGAGAATACACAATTATTATTGACTGATTTCAAGAAACCATTGAAGATAGGAAGTGGATGGTGCAGAGACTGAGGTACAGCAGCAGAGGGCGCTTCATCTCAACTGTGGTCGTGGGGAAGCCATTTCTTCTGCAGAGTCCCAGAAAGGTCAGGACATTGAAGCATCAGGTTCCACAGGAAAGGGGTGGGGGGCACACACAGAATAAGAGCTTCAGTTTCTAAATTGAAACAGAGTTTAGATTCAAGCTCATAAGGCATAGCAGAGGGCAAGGGTGGGGTGAAGTCTAAAAAGAGGGCAATTAAGAGAAAGTCTCTGAACCTTAACCTCCTCTCCCACCACTTCCCTAGTTGCTGGCAGCCAGGTAGATGTGTCCCAGATAGGAGAAAAGATTCTTCTCTGCAGAAAAATGAATAGCCCAGAAAGAATGGCTTGAAGATACTGCTATTTTGGTTTCCCAAGGGAAACAGCCCTGTCTTCATCCAGTCATCTGACAGTGAAGTCCTCCAAGCCCCTCACTCCACCCAGACAGAAAGAGGCTCTTTCAGATTTTTCCATTCCTTGTTCTTACTGTAAATGATCAGGCAAAAAGTTGGAGAAAAGCTTCTATAATAAAGAGAAAACCCAAAATAAAGCTGGAACTTTGAGAAAACAGGAAAAAATACACTAAAACTATAGTATTTTCAGAAATAAGAGCAGAAAATATATTCCAAGTACGTAGTAAGAACAAAATGATATTTTATTTATTTATTTGAGACAGAATCTCAGTCATCCTGGGTAGAGTTCTGTGGTATCACAGCTCTCAGCAACCTCAAACTCTTGGGCTCAAGCGATCCTCTTGCCACAGCCTCCCAAGTAGCTGGGACTATAGGTGCCCAGCACAACACTTGGTTAACTTTTCTATTTTTAGTAGAGATAGGGTCTCGCTCTTGCTCAGGCTGGTCTCGAACTCCTGAGCTCAAGCAGTCCACCTGCCTCATCTTCCCAAGTGCTAGGATTACAGGGGTGAGCCATGGCACTGAGCCCAAAATGGTATTTTTAAAAGATCAAACAGAATAATATTTTAAGTAGGGTAGTGACTCTCAAAAAGTAAAACAAGGTGAAAAATGGAAGCGACAACACAATCCCCTAAAATTAATCCAGGAGGTACAATGCCCGGATATTAGGCATTCCAGAAGACAGAGGAAACAATAAAGAAAAATAATTCACTGAAAGAATGAGATCCCAGACCGGCACGGGTGGCTCCTCCCTGTAATCCTAGCACTCTGGGAGGCCAACACGGGTGCATTTCCTAAGCTCATAGGTTTGAGACCCTCTGTCTAAAAATAGCCAGGGTCTTGAAAAATAGTCAGGTATAGTAGTGGGTGCTTATAGTCTCAGCTATTGGGGAAGCTGAAGCAAGAGAATCACTTGAGCCCAAGAGTTTGAGGTTTCTGTGAGGTATGATGCCACAGCACTCTACCAAGGGTGATAAAGTAAGACTCTGTCTCAAAATAAAAAAAAGAATGAGATCCTAGATGGATTGGCAGATATAAATGAGTAGGAAAAAGATCCAGACCGGGCATGTCATGTGAAATTTCAGAACAACAGGGACGAAGTGAAGATTCAAAAAGGTTCCAAGAGGGAAAAACAGTCAGATAGAAAGTATTGGAAATTAGAATTGCATTGGACCACATTCAGCAGAACATTGGAAGCTAAAAGGAAGAGTTGCCTTCAAAACTCAGTGCAAAAAAACGTTTTTGACCTGAAATTCTAATCTTAGCTAAATTCTGAGTGTGAGAGTGAAATCTGAATACCTTCAAATATGCAAGAATGAGGAGGGGATAAAGGTTTATCTTTCTTAGAAAGTTCAGGAGGATATACCTCACCAGTATAAGTACAGAGAGAGGAAGATGCAGCCAACAAGGGTTCCAGCCTGGTGAACAGCAGAGGGGACTCCAGGACAGTGGAGGAAGACCAGAACAGCAGCCAGTGTGCCGGACACCGCCGTCTGGGGAGGCAGGGACTGGGAGTAAGGCTGGCTGTAGCGGCCGGAGACGCTTACCAAAGCAGAGAAGTCAGCTCTCATACTAGTAACTTGCTAAGCACTTTGTAGAAGTAAGGAAGCAAATACCAGAAGAAAGAAACTATAAGATCTGTGAGAGTAGAGGCTTTTGTGTTTGGGGTTTGTTACTCCTGTGCGCAGAATAGTGTCTTGCACATAGGGGCTCAATATGTTTTCTCTTAATGATTTAATTGGAGAAAAAAAAATCACATACCTGAAGCAGAGTGCTCACCTTGGGGGGCCTCCTGGGGAAGAATGACGAGATGGCTGTTTCATTTCAGGACCTTTACTTTAAAACTCTGTGCATGTGTTACACTGGTTAAAATTACTTTTGCAAAAAAAATTTAACATTTCAAGGAGATATTCTGAAATTCTTAAATTTGTATACCTGAACAACTTAATATGAGAAGCCTTATGTTAAAAGACTGTACTGTAAAATAAATGGGAAGGAGATGTAACAGCCTATCATGAAGAGAACTCTTGGGTGCCTGTTTCTCTACAAGTCAGGGGCCTGCTAGCTGAAACAGAAAAAAGCTGCCTCTTAATCTACCCCAGGTGGGAGAGTGGGGCCTTCCTCCTTTGCCTCCACAGGCTGCTGGCAACCACTCCTCCCCACCTGCCACAGGCTCCCTGGCAACAGTGCTTGGGAGGTATGGGGTAGGAATCTAAAAGCAGAAAGGGAAGCTGCACACTGCACACCTGCCTTGGAGGTTCACGGTAGTGCCCTTTTCCACGTAGCAAAGTAATAACAAGTAGTTCTATTTGTTTTCTGCGAGTTCCACAGTTTTCTTTATTCTGCAAGGGTAGGGAATGTTCAGTTCTATGGTATCTTTTTTTCTGACACCAAATATATGGTGGTTTTCTTCACACCAGCTATTTTAATTCTCTCATAGCAGTAGGGTGTCCAAAAACTAAATTAAATTCCTGGCACTACCCAGAGTTAGCAAAGATTCAAGTCACCAATGGGCAGCCCAGGCTACCTACACCTCTGCCTGGCCATCTACAATGTGGCAGTTCCCGCAGCATGCACATACACATTCCCTCCAGGTCTGAGAACTCACTGATGACTCACAGAACTCAGGAAAACACTGCTACTTAACATTACCAGTTTGTCATATAGGAACCAATTCAGGAACAGCCATGGAAGAGATGTAGAGGGCAGGGTGGGGGTCTGTGCACAGCTTCCATGCCCTCTGGGAATACACTGCCTTCCAGGCCCACCCTGTGCTCACCAGCGTGGAGGCTTCAGAACCACCTCCCTTTGGGCTTCTGTGGAGGCTTCATTATGTAGGCTTGGTTGGTCATCATGTCTCTAGCACCTCTTCCCTCTCCAGAGGTCTGGAGTAGGGCTGGAAGTTCCCATTCTCTGATCACAAGTTGGTTCCCCTGGGCACCAGGTCCCATCCTGAGCCACTGCCTCCCAGTCAACTCTTTAGCTTATAAAAGACATTCTTTCAGAAAATCCCAGAGGGTTTGGGAGCTCTGTGCCAGCAACCTTAGACAAGGTCAAATATGTTTCCTTATTATTACTGTGCTGCAGTTATTTTTATTATGCCAAAAAATAGTGCTGGGTCAGTGATTACCTAGCAGTGGTCTGTGCCCTGCTCTAGCACCAGGGTACTTTGGTGAGTGAAAGAGCAGAGCCCTGCCTCTCGGAGGGGAAGCAGCCAGCCAACGTGGAACACAAGATGAGCATCTTCCCACAGGGGCTGTGTGAGATGGTGGGATCCTACTCTGAGGAGACAGTGCTGAATAGAACCCAAACGGCAAGGAAAACCTGTCCTATGACAAGCCCAGGCAGACTGGGAGGGGCTGGGAGCAAGAGAGTGGGACTAGGGGCCTGGCACAGCGAGTGGGGGGTGGCCTGGGCTGCTCTGGAGAAAGGGCTGAGGGCCCCGTGCGCCAGCTGCTGGTGAAGCAGCAGGCTGTGTTCAGTGTGGGAGAGCACTTGGCCCACAGACCAAGTGCGGGAAAGGACAAGAAAGAGTCAGGACCCCCGGGAAGTTGATGTGCTTCAGAACCTGGCAGGGGGGTGGGGATGTCCCTTCCTAGGCTAGAGTGGGTGGAGAGAGGACACCAGAAAGAATTCTGTCCTGTAAATGTCAAGTGCGATGTATTTATCAGGCAGTCACATGGAGATATGGGACAACAATTGGATCTTAGAAGTAACCTAAGTTGGAAATAAAATTTGAGTCAAATGTTAATAGAAAAGAGAGCACAGAACCCATCTTGCGGCCTTGCCGTATCAGAAGGCTGATGCGGAGCCAGAGGAATGGCTGGTGAGAGAGGAGGGAGAGCAGGAGAGAGCAGAGCATAGCAGCCACGAGGGTGAGTGAGGTCAGAGAAATGCCCATATCCTTGGGTGCAGGAAAGTGTTGGGACTTTGACAGCCTACTTAAGGGGAGTGTCAGGGACACAGCAGGATGGGCGTGAAGCAGAAAAGGCAGGTAAAGGCAACTCTTGAGAACCTTTTTTGATATAGAGAAGGGCAAATGGTAGGAAAGTAGCTGAAAGGGTTGCATGGCATATTTTGGTTTGATGTTTTAGGATGGGAGGTGCCAGAGCCATTTTTACTCTGCTAATAGGAAAACATCCTGGAAAGGTGGAGAAATTGATCAGCAGGGAGAAGGTGTGTCACTGAAAGAAAAACGCCTGTGAGTGTGAGCAGAGCCAGATGTGCTGGGCTCAGGCTCCTCGTCAGTGGGAGCCCTGGGACCAGTGTGTGCGGGGCAGGGGTGACTGTGGGGAGCTGAGGCTATTCTCATCTGAGCATGTCTCTTCTTTAGAAGGTGGAGGAAGCCGTGCTTGGGATGGGGTGGGAGGTACACAGGGATCTCCCAGAGAAGTCCTTTAGCACCCACCTAGAGTTGGCAATGGCTCCCTGCTGCCTGCAGACCCCTGACCCTCTTTACAGGTTCTCAGAGGGGACGTCCCTCTGAGAGATGGTCCTACTTGTACCAGCCCAGCACCCCTGTTGTTTCTGTAACATGGTTTCAGATAGAACAGCTCTTCACACATATGTTCATTATCTTTGAATCATTTCTTTTATTAAAGCAATGTTTGTCCCCACGTTGTGGTTTACAAAGCAAAAATAGGTGTTTTTCATGGGAAGATGGTATTTAGTAGTAAAGGTTCTTGATTGATTGCAAGTAAAGTCAGTGTGATTTTTCCAGGTCTGTGACCCGAAGTTATTACAGAGGTGCGGCTGGAGCTCTCCTTGTCTATGACATCACCAGGTAACTCCATTTCCCCCGGGTGGGGAGGCTGCTTGGCACTGTGTCCTCTATGCTGTGTGTGTCCCGGGACAGGCAGTGTGGTTGTCCCCTAGAAAGACTCCTTAGCCCTTTCATCTGGGTGTCCTTGAACTGGCCCCACCACTCCTTTACCATGTAGAAAAACACGTTTGTAAGGCTTCAGGTCTGTTAAACAGTCCTTAGCATGCTGTTAAGGACACATTCCTTAAACCTCATTTAGGAAGGCACATTCCTTGACCTAACCACAGCTTTCCATGTAGTAGGTTATTACAGGTGAATTAGTCCAAGCTGAGGTTGTCTGGCCTCAAATCCTATCTCCTATTATTGTCTGGGTAATCACCTTAGGCTGGTGCTTCAGCTGTCTGGACCTTGGTTTCCTTTTCTATAAGGTGAGGGTAATAATTATGTAATTCTTATGAGGTTTAAGGATTAAATTAAGTTAATGTGAAGCAATTATATGGTAGCTATTAGCCACATAGGCCAACTTAAATTAAATAAATGGTTGCGTTAGCCACATTTTAGGTGGTCAGTAGCCCCACGTAGCTGGTGACTACTGTATGGGACAGTGCAGAGTGTAGATCATTCCTATCCTGAAGAAATTCCAACAGACAACACAGATGTTTCTTTCCTGTCACCAACTTGGAAGTGTGTCATCTAATGCTGTCTTCTGGGAGTCCTTTCTGGAGGACCATCAGTGAGGAGCATCCCCCAGCCCCTTCCCTCATCCAGCCTTTGCTCCTAGAGCTGGGTGCTCTGTGAAAAGGCAGGCCACTTCCAGCCCAGCCCTCAACACACTTACCCAGTGGCAGGCTCTGCTTGCTAAGTCACTGGTCAATGTGACAAAGTGTCATAGTCGTAAATCCATCCTTAGACGCGAGGGCTGAAAATAGCAGGTGTAAAGGCTGGTCCCAGAGTCAGACCTGGTCACGTCCTGGCGGTGCCCAGCCTGGCCTCTCTGCTGTGTGACTTTGGGCAAGCGCTGTGGGCTTTGAGTTCTCATGGAAAAGGGGGATAATAGAAGTCTGTATAATTCTTATAAAGAATTAAAATGATAAATGCTTAGAAAACGAAGAGCCAGCATGTTGCAAGGGCTGAGTAAATGGCAGCAGTTAGCTGCTGAATCTTGCTGCCCAGAGTCTGGCCCAGGGCCTCATACTTACTAAGCTAATGGATAGCTGTGAAATGAAGGCAGGAAGCTCTGTGTCCTTTTGCACCCTAACTGAGCAAACAAAAAACAGTAAGCTATCAGGCTTATTGCCCCATTTTTCTGGAAATGAAGTGAAACAATCCCTGAGGGGATATGTACTTGGTGCGTGGGGCTATTAACGGGCTTGCTGCCATTACCCTGAAATGTTGGAAAGCAGTGTGAGTAGTGAGAATGACTGGAAAGAGTTGCTAGTTTTATAAAATACATGTATTATTTTCACAATCTTATATTACGCAGCCGAGAAACCTACAATGCGCTTACTAATTGGTTAACAGATGCCAGAATGCTGGCGAGCCAGAACATCGTTATCATCCTCTGCGGGAACAAGAAGGACCTGGATGCAGATCGTGAAGTCACATTCTTAGAAGCCTCCAGGTTTGCTCAAGAAAATGGCAAGTGGCCTTTTATCTCTTACTGTTTTTCAAAGGGCTGGGTTTGGAGAGTTATAAAATTTATCTGAGTTTAAAACACCTACTGGAATTTCAAGGTTATATTTGGGAAATACAGGATTTGCAATTGTTTTTACTATAAATTTAGACTTAGCATATTTTCAGTATATTGTATTCTGCCTACAAAACTTACTGTGATGGGGCAGCGCCTGTGGCTCAGTGAGTAGGGCACCAGCCCCATGTACCAAGGGTGACGGGTTCAAACCTGACCCTGACCAAACTTCAACAACAACAACAAAAAATAGCTGGGCATTGTGGCGGGCACCTGTAGTCCCAGCTACTCAGGAGTCTGAGGCAAGAGAATTGCCTAAGCTCAGGAGTTAGGTGTTGCTGTGAGCTGTGACACCACGGCAGTCTACCAAGGGCGACAAAGTGAGAATCTATCTCTAAAAAGATAAATAAAAAAAAAAAAACAATAATAATAACATTTAATGTTAACATAATAACATCTTTTTTAAGTTACTATGATGATAAAAGCAAATGTATTAACATTCTGTAATGACTTTTTAGTGTTGGATCTTTGAATATTAGAGATCTTGGGTTAAGGTGAAATTTACTTATTTTTAAATTATTGAGGGGGTTCAGATCTAATCCAGGATTACATGGTTTTTTGTATTTGTTTATAGAGACAGAGTCTCATTTTGCTGCCCTGGCTGGAGTACATCATTGCTCACTGCAACCTCAAACTCCCAGGCTCAAGCACTCCTCCTGCCTCAGCTTCCTGAGTAACTGGGACTACAGGTGTACTCCACCACATTGGCTAATTTTTTTTATTCTTATAGAGATGGGACCTCACAGTGTTGCCCAGGCTGGTCTTAAACTCCCATCATCAAGTGATGCTCCCACTTTGGCCTCCATTAAAGTGCTGGGATTAAAGGCATGAGCATTCAGGCTAAAGTGAAATTTATCCTGATAATTTTTAAAGGCAGGCCAGCCAAAGTGGTTCACATCTATAATCCTGGCTCTCTGGGGGGCTGGGAAGATGGCTTAAGCTCAGGAGTTCAAGAGCAGCTTGAGCAAGAACAAGCCCCCATCTCTACTAAAAAAGTAGAATGTTGTTGCAGGTGCCTATAGTCCCAGCTAATCGGAAGTCTGAGGCAGGGGGATCACTTGAACCCAGGAAGCTTGATGTTCCTGTGAGCTAAGCTGACGCCATAGCATTCCAGCCTGGGGCAACAGTCTGAGGCTCTGTCCCTCACCAGTAGAAAAAAATTTTTAAAGGCTCTAATGAAAAAATGTCATCATTTCTTTAATGTATTTTGAAGGGAAGTTGGTCAAATACTAGTCCTAAATGGAAGGGGAAGAAGTAGGAAAAATATTTGGCTTATCAGCTTTATTTTACTTATAGTAAATAAAGGTTGTCTGATTATAAGTGACTTTGAAACTTCTCTGAATTTCCATACAGAAAACAGGAAAGTTACAGGTTGCTTATGGATAACAGAATGATAAAAATTCAGACATTTTAAATAACTTTTTTTAGAACCAGTCAAGAACTGGAATATCCTAATGTCAAAGTTTGATTGGGCTTTAAGACTATCAAATAATATTCTTGTAAATTTCTTAGTCTCTTGCTAAGAAAATAAACATGAAAGAAACAAGTGAACTGTCAGGACAATTTTTTTTAAAGCTATTTAGAAATACAGAAGCTCAATGTTAAAAGTACAAAAGGAATTTTAATGTCATCTAAAATGAACTCATCTTTAAAGTAATGATTCAGGAGGCTGGAGAGGTCATGGTTTGCCAGCAGGACAAGCCTTCTGGTGGGGTAGGCAGCCACTCTGGTGTGTAAAAAGAGTACTGATCCACCTAAGGCCTCTTCATGAGCTAAATGATAAATTACAGTACAGTAGCCTAAAAAATATAAACACCTGCAGATTGTGTTTGTGGTGACAGATTATTGGAGAGAGAAATTGCTTCTTTACCTGAAATCAACAGCATCTCTCCTGCGGGCCAGTCATCCAGCTGTGGAGTCCTGATTACTTGTTCAGGCTCTTCAGGAGATTAAATGTCAGCACAAGATAACAGTTACTGTTCAGAAGAATTTAGAATTTTTCTAACATTTTAAAAAACATACATTGACATACACTGCTTTTATATTTGTAGAGTTATATCGTTTTAAATCAGAAAGTGTATTTTGCCTGCTATTCTAAGAGAATGAGAAATGGGCTTTTAGTAAATGAGAATGATAATTCATCTTCTAAATACGGTGTTGTATTTTGTTTGATGTCAATTTTAGAGCTGATGTTTTTGGAAACAAGTGCACTAACAGGGGAGAATGTAGAAGAGGCTTTTGTACAGTGTGCAAGAAAAATACTTAACAAAATTGAATCAGGTAAAAGCCTTTCCATTAATAAATTTTTTAACTGCATATTTACCCTCTAGTTCGGTAATCTTACCTTTTAATATTTGCAGGAGTGATTTGGTCAAAGAATATTCTTTCTGTAGCCTGCAGACCTAAAATTGCCACTTAGGGTTCACAGGTCATGCTCCCATGGCTGAGGCAAAAAGAGACAAGCCATCAGCTCAGCTGTGGAAGTCCAGCCAGGGCTGCAGCAAGCGTTTGCGTCTAGAGCCACAGTCTTTTCGGGATCTGTCACTTAAAGAAAGAAGAATAGGCCTTTTTCCACTTTCTATCAGCAACATGCTAATTCTGTAGGACCAGTGGTAACATGTAAGGGAATGATAAGTGTATCATGTAAGATTGGCAGTCAGACTGGGCATTGTGGAGCTCTGAAGTTAAGAGTAATTTTATTTCTAAAGCTAACTGAGCCTGCCTGGAGTACAGTATGCCTCATTTTTATGTTTGTTGCTTCAGTAAAAATAATTTCAAATAACTCTTATGTGGGCAGCTGACAAAATACTGTGTAGTTATCCTTTCCTGGAGTTGGTTTTTATTTAAATATTACGAAATATCTGTGGGCATTCACTTTTAATTAATTCATTCAAATATATGCCTATTTTTTGCCAGGTGCTGGGATACAAAAATTAATAAATCACAAGACTCGCCTCAAGAAACAATCTCCCATGCGAGGCAATAAAAAGATACTTATAATATTGTGAGGTTGATACAGCGATTGAGAGGTGCACAGGCTTTGTAACGCAGAGAAGGAGGACCTGGCTACCCAGTGGAGGTGGTGTCAGGGCAGGCCTCCAGAGGAGGTGATGGCTGAGCTCAGTCGTTCAAAATATAAGGAAGAATGAGCCAGCCAAGGGCGTGAGGAAGAGGGAATAGCAGGAGGGAAGGTTGAAGAAAGGAAGGAACCAGCCAACTGTCTTCATCAGGGCTCTAGAACATATTTCTGCAGGTTACCAATTCTCAGTGCTCACTACAGTCCCCTGGGATGCATTGAAAATCCTAATCCCAGGCCCTACGTCCGAGGATGCTAAATTAATTGGGCTGAAATACAGTTTTGGCATCAGCATTTTATCTCATGTGATTCTTTTGTTCAGCCAAGATTGAGAATCACTGCAGTGGGGGTGGCTGGTCAGCTGGTGAGCGATGTGATTAGGTTGTGACTTGACATGAATCATATATGTAGGCATTTATGTTGAGGACAGATTTAAGGGAGGACAGAGCTGGAGGCCAGGGTACCTGGCATTTTAAGGCGTTTTTGAGTAATCCATGTAAAATGACCAATTAAAGCTTTAACAAGGGTGTGGAAGCAGAAATGAAGAGATGTAGGTGAATTGGAGCATATTTAGGCAATAGCATCACATGACTCCTATACCAAATACTAGGACAAGGCAATGGATTTTTAGAAGGGGGATGCTGAAGAGGAGGACCCCTAACTGTCACACTTAGTCACTAAGTGGAGAGATGGTGGAGCAGGAGGAGAGGCAGGGAGTCCGAGGAAATGAAGATGGTTCTGTTTGGGATTTGCTGTCTTTGCAGTGACACTAGTAACTTAGTGACCTTGGGGGAGAATTCTGGGATGCCAGCATAAATTTGGGAGCCATCAATATATAAAAATAGCCAAAACTGTGGAAGGAATGTGGTTATGCACAGAGCATTCTGGATGACAAGGGCAGAAATCAAGACCAGAACCCTGGAGATGAAGGGTGAGCAGAAAGAGAAGAACCTGCAGATTTAAGAAGGAAATGGTCAGAAATGAGTGAAGAAACCAGGGAGATGTAGGTGTCACTAAAGCCAAAATTATAAGCTACTCAGAGGAGTGTTCATTGTTACATGTCCTAGAGGAAGGTCTGCAAGCAAAGAACTGAGCTACAAAAGGTACATTGAGGTGGGTGACAGGGAGGCATAACCACCTTCAGCAAGAGCAGTTAGGAAGGTAGTATGGACAGCTGTCACTTAGGGAGCAAGTGGGAGGCTGGCCCTGCAGCGTAGCAAGGGTTAATTTAAAGCAAGAGGCTTGTTGGAAGAAATTCCAGCCCTTGTCAATGGGGGGAGGGGGTGAGGAGAGGACAGGAAAAAGGAGGGCTCAGGGTAGAGGAGGCTAGATGGGTAGGAGAGGGTTGGGTTTCCTCAGAAGGGGAAACTTCATCCTTTTGCATTTTTTAAACAGAAAACAGAAATTACCAAGGTTGGTACAAAAACTGTTAATTTTTTTAGAGACTTTGTAAGATAAATATTTATTCTTAAAATTGGCTTGGTGTTGAGTATTGTTAAGCTTAACTTGAGGTTTTATTTGTAAATCTTTGCTACTCTGGTATTGTATCCATGAATGCAGCTGATATAACTTTCCTTATTGTAAAACTTTTAAAATGTATTTCTTCTGAAATCACCAAAATCACAATTCTAAGTAGAAAAAAAATAAGGGTATAAATTTGGATTCTTCCGCAGTATTTGTTTGTTTTAATTTTTTAAATGGTTAATACATTTGTATAGCTCAAAAACCATTGTTTCCTACTGTTTTTACACAAAGTTTACCATATGCTTTTTTTCATTTATCATAACCTATGAATTATTCCCAATCAGCATATGGTTTCTGTATACATAGTAATACTGTGCTTGTAATGTGTGTATGCTGTATAATACAGAGCAAGCATCCCTAATCTAAAAATCTGAAATACTCCAAAGTCTGAAACTTTCTGAGTGTTGACATGACATTCACAGGAAATTCTCCTTGAAGCATTTTGGATCTCACATTTTTAGATTAGCAATGTTGAACCTGTATATACATGTATAATGCAAATATTTCAAAATCCAAAAAAATCTGAAACACTTATGGTCTGTGCATTTCAGACAAGGCATACTCAAGCTGTATGCCACTTGTGTGTTCCTGCTGCATAACTTGTGTGACCAGCCTACTTTGGACATGTGTGGTTGGTAGTACTTGCTGTTACGAACAATGCCACAGAACATGACCTTTTATATATATCATTTCACATGTGCACAAGTCTAAAATAAATTCCCAGAAGTGGAATTGCTAGGTCAAAGGACAGAGCTTTGAGGTTTATGTAGAAGCTGTCAGACTTTCTTCTGTCAGGGCGCCCGTTGCTCAGTGGTTAGGGCACCGGCCACATGCTCTGGGGCTAGTGGGTTTGAATGCTGCCCAGGCCTGCTAAACAACAACAACAAAGCCAGGTGTTGTAGCAGGTGCCTGTGGTCCTAGCTACTAGGGAGGCTGAGGCAAAAGAATCACTTAAGCCTAAGAGTTTGAGGTTACTGTGAGCTGTGACGCCACAGCACTCTACCAAGGGCGACACAGTGAGACTCTGTCTCAATTTTAAAAAAAGTTTTCTCCTGTCAACAGGGTTTTTTTGCTAAAGTCATGTCCATGGGGTGCATTGCCATACTTGGGGTTTGGGCGCATCTGGGAAGTGAAAAATGGTATCTCTGTAGTTTAATTTTTTAATTAATACATAATATGTTCACATCATTCCAAATTCAAGTAGTACAAAAGAATATGCAATGATATACTAAAAAAACAAAAAAAGCATATGCCGGGGAAAGTCCCCTCCTCCCTTATCACCCCCTCTGGTCACCTAGACGTCTAGAACTCTTTCCTGAAGTCAGCTGTTGCTATCAGAGATATTTTATGTCTGTGCAAGCAATCGTATATATCTCCTTTTCCTTTTTATTCAAAGTGGTGGTACATATACATGGTATTCTGCACTTTCCTTTTTTTCCCACTTGTTTTGGGGATCTCGGAAACATAAAAGACAATTTAAAAGACTCGCTTGGTCCTCAGGTGAGCTGGACCCAGAAAGAATGGGCTCAGGTATTCAGTATGGAGACGCTGCCTTGAGACAGCTGCGGTCACCACGGCGTGCGCAGGCCCCAAATGCTCAGGACTGTGGGTGTTAGAAGCTGTGAGCGAGCACACAGGTGGGTATGGAGGGCCCTGCCCTCAGTCTCCCCTACACTGCAGAGCCCTCTTCACAGCTGTGGTAGGAAAAGGAGAGGTGAGCACATAAGGTAAAGTCAGATGTTCTGACTGATAGAATTTACACTCCATAGGAAATTCTCATACTTTTATTTATAAAGAAAGGAGGGGCAAACAGCCATTGAGGGGAGAGGTTGAGATATCCTTCTCCCTTACATTACTGAGGAGACTTTCTTGGATTGAATTCTTTTTTTTTTCCTTTTTTTTTTAATCTTGGATTGAATTCTAAATGAATATACCTTTTGCTAAAACATTAGAAGGCTTATTTGTAAAATTGGCAAATATCTCCATCTAACTTTTTTAAATTTTTGTTTCATTTATTTATTTGTTTATTTATTGGTGAGACATAGGCTCACTCTGCCACCTTGGGTAGAGTGCCATGGCATCATCTTAGCTCACAGCAACCTCAATCTCTCACGCTCAAGTGACCCTCTTGCCTCAGTCCCCCTATGCCCCAGTAGCTGGGATTGCAGGCAAGTACCACAACATGTGGCTAGATTTTTGGAGTTTTTTCCCCTATTTTTGGTAGAGATGGGGTCTCACTCTTGCTCAGGCTGTTCTCCTAACTCCTAACCTCAGCCTCAACCTCCCAGAGTGCTCAGATTACAGGCCTGAGCCACTGTGCAGACTCCATTTAACTTTTTAAAGCTTCCTCTTTTTTTCCCATTTACCACAGTGGACTTTTATTTATAGTCAACATAATCTAATAGGTACAGGCAAATATTAAACAAAAGATGAGGTATTCACTAGTTCTCTTTTAGGCTTTATGCTATATTTATTTTTATATTTACAACTATGTAGATTTCTAAATTGCTTTTACTATTTTTTAGGTTTCAGACAGTGGTATTTGAGACACAGTTGTTGGAGCTTGAAGAACCTGAAGTTTTCACCACCATCTTTTCTACTTTATACAAAAGTAGATCTTTTGGGGGGAAAAGGAATTTGGGGTGTTCTGCAAGCTAGTGGAGGTGGCACAGCAAGTCATATAATAAATCTAATTCAGTGGACACCACCACTAGATGTATTTTACATGTATGTAAAGATTCTCTGTCCCATGTCTTCCCTTTGTCCCTTAGTTTCCCACGTGGTATGTACTGGGCATACGGGGCCTCGCCTGGGATGTCCCTGTGGCATGTCTGACGTATGATACGATAGAACATTGCACTAAACGCAGTTTAGTATTTTACTTTGCTTAATCATATGAACTAAGATTTGTTAATTGTAAGGTGTGCTCCTCTCATCATGTTGGTCCTGTTGCACAGCCAGTTACATCTGTGACCTGCTGTTCAGAGAACTTGCACTGATGGCTGGTGTGTCTGTTACGTAATTCTGTTTTTCACATTATACGTGGTATTTGCGTGATCCACACTTGAAATCCAAGATCAGTAGTCATTCCCTCACACACCAAAATAAAATGAAGACGGAGTTTTCCCATGAACTTTACACCATCCAGCTCTCTGTTGATTGTGAAGCATCTCCATCCAGGTCCGTTCAGGGCATGTGTCTGGAGAACCTGCTTGGCTTTAGGCTGTGGGATCAGCACTAAGGACTCCAGGACCTTAAACCAAACCTGCTAGGCCGCTGATTCTGCTCTCAGTGGTGGGTAAAACGTAGCAGACTGTATAAGCTTCTAGTTTGCTGATCTCTCTGGTCTCCCTGCTAGAAATTGCATTGTTTGAACTGTACTTTTTCTGAAATTCAGTATAATGGCATCACTACCTGCTTTTCAGATCCTTCATTTTATGTTCATTTAAAGGGATATCCTCATTAGGAAAGTTCTTCATGGCTTTCACTGGACACTTAGATGCCTCCCTGCAGGTACCAAGTCGCCATATTTTCAGTTCGCATCTGGTACATTAGATGTATTAAAGTGTGATGTGTGTTTTATTACAAAAATTTGTTCTTATGTTTTAAAATACCAATACAAAAGATATATATAATGGCACCTTTCTTTAATGTTGAAATACATCAGTATTATTTTAAGTCCAAAAGGTTAAAAAGCTTTCTTCACCTTCTATATATGTTCTTCCAGTGGGATACTTTAGCTGTAGACTGGTAAGTTTAGTTAACTTTTAGTTAGGAAATGCCTACTGCTTTTATTTTAATCAACAGAGCACAGCGAAACATACAAACTCTGGGAAGTGACTTGGATAAAAATAACAATGTGTATCTGTTTTGATTTTTTTTGTGCCATGAATATTTTATTTTGAAAAGTCAGATTCTGAAGCAAATTCTCAGACTGAACTACTTGTTAGGCCTCACTGTAAGAATGTTTTATTCACTGTCTCATTTATGGTAAATTGGCAGGCTGCTCATTTTGAACAGCTTTTTGCATGAAATAGAAGCATGCCCATTCTAACGGTTCATTTCAAACAAGAATTTTAAAGATAAGATAAATGTAAAGTTGTTTTATAAATGATCTTGTTCATTAATGACAGATACCCTATGTCATTCCACACCTTTGTCCAATAAAAGTTACTGGAGAACCAAATCCTGGTGGTTCTTAATAAGGCTTTTGCCTGAAGGGAAGATGAAGAGGGAGGCCGTTAGTATCGGTTAGTCAGTAGTCAGTGTTGTGCTGAACCCCCCTCAACTTACTAAGTTTTCAGGAAGCTCTTAATTTAGATTTCCAGAAAAGTAATTTTTCAGTCTTCTAGAAAAAAAGATTATCAAAAGCATTTAGGTCCAGATAGCTCAGTCGGTAGAGCATCAGACTTTTTTGTTTTGTTTGTTTGTTTTTGTTTTTGTTTATCAGGCCTGGGCCATGTTCAAACCCACCAGCCCTGGAGCATGTGGCTAGTGCCCTAACCACTGAGCTATAGGTGTGCAGCCAACTATTAGACTTAATCTGAGGATCCAGAGTTCATATCCCTATTTGGGCATCCAGTCTTGGCTGGGCCCGGTAGCTAACGCCCGTAATTCCAGCACTCTGGGAGGCTGAGGCAGATGAATCGCTTGAGCTCAAGATTTCAAGACCTGCCTCAGCAAGATTTCAAGACCCTGTTCCTTAAAAAAAAAAAAAAACCAAGGCATGTTGTCAGGCACATGTAGTCCCAGCTACTTGGGAAGCTGAGGCAAAAGGATCTCTGGAGCCCAAGAGTTTGAGGTTACTGTGAGCTATGATGTCACAGCACTCTACTGAGGGCAAGAAAGTGAGACTTCTGTCTCAAAAAAAAAAATTTATATTTGAGATTGCAATTCATTCTTTTATAATCTAGCATTTGAGTGAAAATGAGAACATCACAATTTGGGAATTTGTAATGGTTTTGTTGAAAACATTACCAGTACCTTTCATGAGAGTTGCTGATCTTCTAAGACATTAATTTCTAGCAGATCGATATTATTTAAAGAATCTGGTACTAAAATTAGAAACCTAAATGATTTGTAATTTATACTGTGAAATAGCAGAAAATATCTAATTTTATTTTGTCTTTGCCCTTTTAATGTTTTTGAAAGTAAGAATCAGAAGTATTTTAAAACACCTGTGAATTTTTAATAATTTTTTTGGTGCCAGTTGTGAAGTGGATCTTTTCTGATCTATCTAACTATTCACGTACATATGATTTGATTCTGTCGCAATTGTTACTTTGTTATTTCCTGGTTGTTTAAAGGTCATTTTTAGAAATTTAAAGGTATTTATCTGAGAACACTAGACTTACCACTTTCAGTAGGACATATGACTGAGTTGTTGGCCATCACCCTCTAGGAGAAGAAAATACTGGCCAGGTGCAGTAGCTCGTGCCTATAATCCTAGCACTCTCGGGGGCAGAGGCAAGAGGATCTCTTGATCTCAGCTGTTTTAAGACCAGCCTGAACAAAAATAGAAAATACTATTTTCTACTAAAAATAGAAAAATTAGCCAGGTGTCATGGTGGGCACCTGTAGTCCCTGCTGCTTGGGAGACTGAGGCAGGAGGATTGATTGAGCCCAGGAGTTTGAGGTTGCTGTGAGCTAGGCTGACACCACAGTGTTGTACCCATGTGAGAGAGACTCTGTCTCAAAGAAAAGAAAGAAAATACTACTCACTAGTAGAAAATAATGTGCTTAGGGAATCTTGGTTTTTTTCTTTAAAAGTACCATTTATAAACGTTCAAATGTTTTATTATAGAGATTTTCAAATATACATAAATACAGAGAAAATAGCATGAGGAACCACATCAGCCAGCTTCAGCACTTACCTGTGTTATGCCATCTTCTCTGTCATCAGCACTTTCGGGGGGGTTTTTGTAGTTTTTGGCGGGGGGCCGGGTTTGAACCCACCACTCCGGGATATGGGGCCTTTGAGCCACAGGCACTGCTCCTCTTTAGCTCATTTTTTTATGTTTTTCAAACATACAAGGCATATGCCATTTCATCCCCCAAATAGATCAATATTCATCTCTGACGAGAATATTTTCTAAAGATTTTGTTAGATTGCTGTACCATTGGGAACGTAGCCAAAAGTTTTTGTTTTCCTTCTCTTGCGACTATATAAAGTTGGTCTTCTGGATGTTCTGAAGAGGCAGAATGTGTCTTCCATGATGTATTGGATCCAGTGACTTCCCAGCTCATGGGCAGTTGTACCAAGGTGCTGGTCGCTGGCCTGGGGCATCATGCTTCGCAGGGATGCCAGGACTCTCAGCTTGCCACTCACATCCAGGGGCATGAGAGGATTGGTGTCCCCCTTGCCAAGCTGGCTGTAAACTCACCTGCCAGCCTAGTAACAGGAGGCATATTTAATTTAAATCATCTCAGCAGTCTTTATTCTATTTTGAAGAATCTCTTTTATTGTAAGGAAAACACTCTATTTTTTTTTAAACATTCTACTTTAATATGTACTTGTCTGGACCTTCTGCTACCAAGCGTGAGGTCAGCTGAGCCAGTCTTGATGGTGCAGTGCTCACAGCTCGCTCCTCATGCTGGAGGACAGTGTCATTAAACTGGTGAGGAAAGCACCAGTGCATTTGGATAAGTCTGCTCTGACAACTCCTTTCTCTAACTTTTTTTTAGAGACAGGGTCTCACTCTGCTGGTCACAGTGGAGTGCAGCATTGCAATCAGTAGCTCACTGCACCCTTACCCTCCTGGGCTCAGGCGATCCTGAGCCCCTTCAGCCTCCTGAGTAGCTGGGACTATAGGCAGCCAGCACAACACCTGGCTAATTTTTCTATTTTTAGTAGAGATGGGGGTCTCACTCTTGCTCAGGCTCATCTCCAACTCCTGAGCTTAGGTTATTCTCCCTCCTCAACTTCCCGAGTAGCTGGGACGATGGATGCATACCACCATACTTAGCTAATTTTTTTTCTTCTGGTGGGAATGTGGTCTCTCTATTTGCCCAGGCTGTTCTCAAACTCCTGGCCTCAAGTGATCCTTCTTCCTTACCCTCCCAAAGGGAAGGAATTACAGGTCTTGACCCAAGCTGCCCAGCCCCTTTTTTTAACTTCTTGATGCAATGTGTAAATAACATTTTAAAGACAACTAGAGGGAAGGAAACAAACTTGCTCAGTTTTAATATTTTATATTCGAAAATGATTATGTTCACTAAATATTTAAGGACCAGGTAATAATGTGTGAAGATAAAAATACTAATTTCTTTGGTGGGGAGCCTGCAAATCATTTTAAATTGAATAGGAAAGACGGGGTGCAGTGGAGCATGCCTATAATTGTAGCACTCTGGGAGTCCAAGGTGGGTGGATTGCCTGAGCTCAGAAGTTCCAAACCAGTCTCTAAAAATAGATGGGCATTGTGGTGTGTGCACCTGTAGTCCCAGCTACGTGGGAGCCTGAGGCAAGAGAATCACTTGAGACCAAGAGTTTGAGGTTGCTGTGAGCTATAAGACCATACTCTACAAAGGGTGACATAGTGAGATTCAATCAAAAAATAAAAATAAATAGCTCAGCGCCCATAGCTCAGTGTTTAGGGCACTGTCCACATACACTGAGGCTGGCAGATTTGAACCCGGCCAGGGCTGCTAAACAACAATGACAACTGCAACAAAAAAAATAGCTGGGTATTGTGGCAGGCACCTATAGTTCCAGCTACTTGGGAGGCTGAGTCAAGAGAATCACTTAAGCCTAAGAGTTTGAAGTTGCTGTGAGCTGTGACACCATGGTACTCTACTGAGGGTGACATAGTGAGACTTTTGTCTCAAAGAAAAGTTTAAAAAATAAATAATAAATTGTTATAAATAATAATTTATAACACAATTAATTCAGGGTAAGTCTATCACGTTGTTCTCTTTTCCGGAAGGCCATCCCAGTGGTTTGTGTGATGGTCTATACCATTCCCTCACGCCTTTCCTCTGAATGCCTCTCACTGCCCACGGCCTCTGTGCCCTGTACCTGACCCATGAGGTCCCCAGCCTGGTTTCTCAGTCTGTGAAGCTGAAGTGCTGTTGTCCTCGCAGGTGCAGCCCAGAACTCCTGTGCTGGTCAGTCTCCTGTACTGTTCAGCTTCCTCCACTGGTCAGCCTCCACCCACAGCACAGCAGGCACACCTGCTCCTGTGACTCTGTCCTAGACTCCCTTTTCCTGTGATCACATTGAACTGTGCCTTGTCTCTGCTGCTCTGACAGGGCTGCTTTCTGTGTGCCCTCTTTCTGCACATGGGAGAGACTCCAGTCTTTGCAGAAAACACAAGTGATCACAGAGTCAACTCTGTCCCCAAGTCTTTAATTTAGTGTATCTAGGTGCCTTTAGTGCAGCCTACCCACTGCAAGATAGATCTCTCTTTGCAAAATCTCCAAAAAGATACTGCTGAAACCCTTCCTCATTCCCTTTGTGAGTGTTGGCTCCAGCATATAATTACCCAGTTACCCTACTTGCAGTCTAGGGTGGACAGAGTCTAGTGTTTAGGCTGCACGCTTTGTTGTTAGGCCGGTATTTCCTAGGAATCATGTCTGTGTGCTCTTCATAGGCTCTCGGCACCTGTCATGGCCTCGGCAAGCAGGTGTGACTGCTGTGTCTTCATCCAAGGTGTGGGATTGGATGCAAGAACAGGGTCTAGGTCTGTAAGATGCAGTTGAGGCTCTAATTGTCCATAAGTCCTGGACTAAGGCCCAGGCATGAGCGTTGTAGTATTTTATAATAACTTCTAAGTGCTTAGGGGTGAGATGTGTCAATTTTCTCAGTTCTGTTAATTACACACTCCTCAGTTATGGCTGACAAGTCTCCATGCTGAAGCAGAAACCAGAGCTTTAATGAAGGCTTGAAGACCTTTTCAAAGGAATACAGGAATGACAGACATTAGTTTTCCTACCCTAGTTTTTGTACGTATTTTTACCTGACTTCCCAACTTCACCCCTCCCTGAGGTAGAACTATACTCTTGCTTGTACTTGGAGACATCTCATAGCAAGGGTCTTCAGTTTCCGAGTGCTTCTGTTATTCACTG